GGACGCTCGCCACGGACGCGCGGCAAGCGGCAGCGCGACGAGGTTAAGCAGCACCCTATTTCGTGACCGTGGACGCCCAGCGTGACATCACGGAGTCGGCCTTCTTGAGTTGGCTCATTCAGGGGGGGGGCTGGGTCACCGTCGCGCGGGGCTTCGATGGCCGCGACGCCATGACCTACGGGCGCGACCCAAACTGGAACCGCCACGACGCGCAGGACCACGCGTCTTGCATAGAGCACATCCTCGCAAATGAGAGGGCCAACGCGACGGTGGAGAACTTTCAATTCATGCGCGATCGCAGATGCCCTGGGCACTTTTGTCTGGAGACCACCTTGAATGTTGAAGTTTCCTCAGCCCGAGTACGCCGATGGAAAAGGCCCAAGCAGTATGACGTCAACGCCATCACCATGTCCTGCGAGGAGAGGGAGGCCCCGGGCGAGACGCTTGCCGAGCAGGCCGGAGGTGAATTCGCCATCGCGAACGGCCACTCCGATCAGTTTCTCGAGGTCGCGACCAAGTTAGGCGAGGACGTTTTGGAATTATGTTGCGGCTGACATGCCGAACCTGGAACCCGAGGACGGGGCAGGGCAACGCGTTTTGGCATGGGCTGGGGGGCCCACCTATCTCGCCTGCCCAAGGAGCGATGTCCAGGATCGAGTGGCAGCACACCAAGCTCTACCGCAGACTCATCGTGCTCAGGATGCGCGCCGAACGCTCGTCGAGAGGGGCAGGCAGCTACGGACATCCAGCTACACCATCAGTTGCGGGCCAACATCTGCAAGCAGGTTCGGCAACTCCAACCAGCATGTGCTCAGTGGCCAGGCTGATGGACGCCACTTGCATGGCCCTCGCCATCAGAAGCTCAAAGCAGCCGCGGACGATGTCTTGGCCGAGCGGACTCAGCACGCGGGGCAGCACAGCAACAACGTCTCCAACAGTGGCGAGATCGCATCGCTTTTTCCTGCAAGCAAGGTGGTCGAGACGCGCGCGCCTGGGCACAAGCGCAAACCCTTGCCCCAATTACCTTCCCCTCCAAAAACCCGACGCCCACGACGTCGCCACGAACCCCCAGGACATCATCAAGTTGACGCAGGCTACTTGGGAACCAGTGCTGGCGAAATACTGAGGAACCAACCAGGCCCCGACGTGGGCCGAGTTCGGGCGCGAGCATCAGGACGAGCTCCCCGCCCTCGTTCTCCGTGCCCCGAGCCCTACCTGAGCGACGCTGAGGTTGGCGCTTTTCTCCAGGCGCGCCCCTCTCGCAAGGCTGGAGGCCTTGACGGATGGGCGACGGCAGAAGCCAAAGCACTGCCACCGGCCACCATTGCGGTGTTCGCCGCGGCTTCGAGAGACATGCAGAATTCGGGTCACGCCCCCTTGCCTCTAGCCCATGTCCCGAATCCAGCTCTGAGGAGGGGGGTGGGGGGGGATTTTTCCTGAGCAGCAACGTGCACTGTCGATTATTTCGGCGTGGCTCTATGCTCGGGGGCCCCCGCCGCACCGAAAATTGGAACTTTGGAGGCGCGAGCGCTGCCATCCAACTAGCTTCGGGGCCACAGAAGGGGCTAGGTTGTCAGACATCTCGACAAACCTAGCCTTGCAGGTCGAGTGGTCCAGGCACTACGAGCAGCGGGTACGCGGCCTTGCTTTGGACAGGAAGAAGTGCGTCGACCTGCTGGCGGGCGAGATATGCATCGAGCTCCAACGGTGCGCGGGATGTCCCGAGAGCGCGCTTCGAGTGCGCGAGGATTTCCACCGCGAACATCTCCGCCACCTCCGGATGTCCGGCACCTACAGCCAGCCCCCATTGAGAACAAATGCCCATTTGCAAGGATCGGCTTTCCGCATATACGACATCAATTTGCTAATGTCTGTGTGGACGGCTCGACAATAGAGTTATACCCAGATCGCTATCGATTGTATTCATTGACGATTCCAACTCGACCCTGTGGGACATGGCAGGCATCCGCGAGTCTCTCCGGCAGTCTTTTGCGTTTTGACCAGGTCTCGGGACAGGAGCTTCACCTCGGCGAGCTGATTGGATTGCGGACGAGAAGATGGCACAGAAACTGGAGGTCATGCAGGTGCAGGGTGTTAACCTCCCTGTCAAGCGCGCCTTCGGGCTCGTAGGCAGCCAGATCGTCGCCAGAGGCGAGGGCAACATTACGCTCGCGGGCGCCAATTCCCAAGATGCGGCACAGCGACTTCGTCGAGTCCAACGGCCATCTGTTCCTCTACACAAGCGCGCAAAGGTTGCCCAAGCATTGGCGGCCTCGAAAATCGCAGTCGGATCTGACTTAGGGCCGCCGAACATGATCCAGATGCGCGACTACTACCAGGCTCTGTTCGCAGCGCTTATGCCGAGGGGGAGACAGCGGACGTCCCGGTGGATCTTGTTGGGGGTCGCACTGACAGGACATCTTTTCAACCCATGCGCCACCAGCCATCGCGGAGCAACGTTGCCGGTGCGACGCCAAGTGCCGCGAGCCCCTCAGTTACGCGCCTACGCCGCCGCCCTTCGGGGCTGCATCCAGGACGCGGGGGCCGCGCGCCCAAGGCCAGCACGCACCTTCATCAAGGCGCTAGAGCAGTTCAGATGGAGGTGGCCTGAT